ATGGGAAGCTTTTCGTTCATCTCCGACACCGGCGACTCCCCGCCACTATTTCCAAAGGTGCAGTCAGGGCTGCCAGCAACCCACAAGTGGGATGCAAACTGGAAGGATGCCACCATCGACTATGAAGAGGTCGATTTCAATGTGCCACAGCCTGCATGGATCAAGGATACCTATCATTGGTCATGCACGCTTCTCAAGATGGGCAGTTTTGCCGAAAAGCCCATCACCTACCATGATTTTGTTGTGAGGGTCTTCAACCAAAGCATGGAGGAGTGCCGCTACGCAAAGAAGATGATTGGCCAGTTCCGCAAGAAATTAATTCCAACGCCAAGGACACAGGGTCCTGATTTCTGTGCATTCTTAATTCACTGCAGGGTAGACGCATTCCTCAATGCCGGCTATGTCTACCAGCGTGAGTTCTCTTGGCGCTAATGGAGTGATTGCGGATGCCAATGTGGAGCTGGATGTGGCGATTTTTGGTTTTGCATGTGCAATGTGCCTGGAATTTGTTGCGATGAATCCTCTCTGCAGAATCTTTGGGCTTCCTTTGCGATGAGCTGGACTGCAGGGAATTCGTTGTGGAGCAATTTCAATGTGGCACTTTGACACTGCTTTTTCATCTTTCTACATCAATGAGTATGTGGACACGGTCAATGGATTACAACACAAGGCTAATTCAAGTACACAGGTATTTTTGCAATACATCTGCAACTGGTGTGAAGATGCGACTTCGTGTGCAAGTCCTCACTGGAGGTTGAACAGATGACAGCTTTATACATATGTGTGGCATGCGAGCCTTTTGAGACTTCACTGGATTTTCGGCTGACTATGGATGGGAAACGCAGCAAAAGGGGGTATGGAAATATACACTCCCGTGCATATGGACTGCATGTGCTACGTTTCTGGATGTAACTTGCATGGTGGCTACAACATGATGTTGTCAATGGTTTATTTGGGCAGAACTCTGAAATTGATGCAGAATGGTTTGAGAACAACTGGAATTGGTTACAATACCGTGAAGATGCGTTTTATGTGCATGTGAATGTTTTTCGTCAACTTGATGAAGAAGAAGAATGTTTTTGGAACTGAAATTCATTTGCAACAAGGTTTTCTGGAGTGCAAATGAATTTGGAGATGATTTTGGTATCGACGACTTTTTGGACAAGCTCAACGTTGTTTTTCAAACACATGTGCATGCGTTTTCAACCACAACCTTGACTGGATTTGTTTTCTGCATGATGCGTTTTATTTTCGGAAGCTGCCAACTATTTTTGTCAACAGTTTGGATGTTTTTGGAATTTGTGCAAACAGTGCGTTTGAAGAGAAGATGGAAGTGAAGCTGATTTATTTTTGGAAAGATGGTGAATTCATCACCAATGAATTCACCAACATGATGATGATGTTTGTCTACCGCCGCCGTTGCATGTTGCAAAGGCAAAGCAGCTGAAACAGAAGAAGTCCAACTATAACATGCTGCATGTGCATGACAGACAATTTACCTTTGCCTTCGTGTTTTTCCTGTGTGGAAAAAGGATTTGAGAGTTTGCAGTGACAGCCGTCGTGTTTTTGGGTTTTAACTTGTTAAACGCTCGACGCGGAGTTAAGCCGACCCAATTCGACGCAAGCGCACGATACTAGTGGTTGTAATTAGGTCCTGTTGGATTTTCGCAGTAGTATATTCAAGGTAGTGTTGTTTGTCTGTTCGGAGAGTGTCATTCCAGCTGTTCCCAATCGCAAAGGAGACAGGGTTAGCCCTTTCTGCCTCTGCGGCAAGGAGCCGTAGCTCATTGCATTTGGCCTGAAAAGCAACCCGGTCAGTATCTGGTGCTTTCCTACGTAGTTTTCTATCAGGGGGCCTCCTCCCAGGCGAAGTTACCATACGAGTACTCCCTGGTGATAAAATGTACCAGGCCATGGAAATCGAGCCGGAGTTTATGCGTCCTGCCATCCTACATGGTTTCGGTACCAATGCCAAGAAACGGTTACCCGGGCGGCTCACGGAGCTGGCGCATTTTGGGTGGATGCCGCTGGCGGCCGCCGCTCTCTTGGCACGGTGAAGTGGCTGCCGCAATGGTTGCACCACAACTTCCTCCCAGTCATTGGACTACGAGTTCATGCCAAAGTACCGCCCTCCCCGCTCACCGACCGACAATTAGTAGCATTGGGATTATGGGAGCGAAAAGCGGACCGAGGACTCCAGTGTCGGGCCCTTCTCCAGGCAGTGCAGCTGGACTTTGGTCTCCCAAACACGTTTGCAGTAGTAGGCACATGGCACACGGAAGTCAAGGGCCATACCTTTGATATTGTCCACTGTGCCCAACAGATGTATACAGGCATGGCATCCAGTGAATCGCAAGCGATGCTTGATCGCCCGCGCAAGTGGGCACAATGGGTTTTCATTGGAGGAGCTTTGGGAAGACGATTCCCCCATGCAAGACCGACCTCTGATGTTACATTGTAGCCGACTTAGTGGAGGGCTCCTCAGTCCATGACCTCTTTTTTCAGAATCATGCGCAAATGAAGATCCGTGGGCAACAGCTGTCCGGCAGATTATTAGGTGTTGTCACCCCCGAGGTAAGAGTTGAGAGCGTTTCCCCCACCTTCTGCCCGATGATAGAAGCACACGCAGTTTGGAGCGGCCGAGCGAGACATTCATATGGACATCTCCTATTCACGGACATTGAGGAAGGCACCTATCAGATCGAACAGCTGCAAATCACCAACCCTGAGGTGATCCCGCACGGTATGCGATGTGCGGGTCCTGTCATGGGTAAGTTTTGACCTCCCTGACCACTTCAAGCGCACGCTCAGCATGCTGGTACAGGCTGCTGGGGAAGGGTGCAGCAGCTTACACATGGTCCCAATTGAGGGAAGAGACATCAGAGACGACCAGGTTGCGAATTGCAGCAAGTATTGATCGACATGGTGCCTACACCGGGCATGGGGAACGTGGAAGGAGGAAGTACAATCCGCGCTCTGCTGACTGAGTTCTACGGTTCTTCCACGCACGCTCATCTTTCTCTTGGACATGGTGTTGCCCCAGCTTGACGCTTATCACTCTGGCAGACAACTGCAACACCTCCAGCCGTGGGTCAGTGTCGAGCTGGCACAACAACTAGACCGTGGTCAACTAGATTCGGCCAAATGTCACGTATCAATATCAAGCCTAATTGCCGGCTTTCATGTCATTCGAATCCTGCTTTCGTCTGTGCTGATTGCATTGTAAGTGCGGAATGCACCCGTGTTTTTTGTTTTGTTTGTTTGGTGTGATTTGCCCTCATTTCTGGACCTCTTTAGTCCTTGTACAAAATGATTTTTCACTGCTTATGCTCATGTCAGGACCGAGCCACAGTGCGACATCGGCCACACTCGAGGAAAAAAAAAATGTAAGTGCGGAATGCACCCAACATCCGTCATTGTGTAACTTTGTTCTCACTGCAGCTTTTGCGGCTCTTGATAGCCTCTCACAGCACTCGTCGCACAACAGAAGCCTGACACCGGGCACCGGTTGTTCAGGGTTACGCCCACGCCAGGATGATACAACAGCTCATGACTGAAAATCGGTTCATTTCCTTGGCGCCTGATGACCCTGACGACTCGGATACAGACATGGAGCCGACAGAGCCATGCGTCACAGAAAAACCCCGTGAGGATGCGTCAGCTGACAGTGACCACTCGGTCTACTTCGATGCTCGGGAGGCTGATGATGACACTCCGACCAACTGGACGCACTCTTCCTATCGGAAAAAGAGATTGAAACTCCGCTTGGTATGGATGACACCAAGCAGAATTGGAAGTGGGCAGACGTAGGCTCTCGTCGAATGCCCCGCTCACCCCTGACATGCCCGACAGTGATGGTGGGCGACGAGAATGGAATCCGCCGACCCGCAGTCAGCCAGGTCCATCACAGGACGCTCTTTCAGTAGATTGTGGATAACCTCTCATGGTTATCGGAATATGAAACTGTCCATGTCTTCGTGGACAACCGTATGCTATCAGGAACCAATCCTCCTGAGTACTGGCAGTATTCAGCACCATGGATCAAAGGCAGATGTGAAGTCACTGGACCTTACCGAGAGAAAACAACTGCTATCTACATTCCCATCAACTCCAACATAAACTTTGCCAACTTGCAGCTTGGCGACAAGGAAGCAGGCTGTCAGAGACTATTCTCATGTACATCCATATGAAGATGCTGACTGTGGTGCATCTCGGCTGAGGCGGGGATTCAAGCTTCGGCTGAGTCTGGAAATGCGAACTCCTACGAGTGAAGGATTGAAAGTGGGCGAGTGAAGGGATTGAAAGTGGTGGCCCATCATCAACGGCAAGGTCAGACTCTGGAGTTCCTCGAGCTGAAGGTTCGTTTAGTGGACCTTCAAAGCATGCAATCGAACATGATGATGTTGGCACAGAGGCCAAATGTTTCCTCAGAGGCCAAATGTTTGCATGAAGACATCATGAGCCTAGTAAAAGCCAGCAAGCATGAGAGCGGGTGGTGTTAATCTCATAGGTGCCATTTGCAACATTGAGCATCTGGACATCGAGTCCGATGTCTCTCTTCACTCTGATGATGTGGAGCATGAACTGTGAGCTTGGATGAAGACCCCTATGAGGTCGAGATTCACGTTAGTGTATGTCTTAAAGAGCTCAGCTTTCCATACGCCCCACAGGAGCCAGAACTTCCGCAGGAGGATCTTCAAAAGCTTCACGCACTGCAGACCAAGTTGAAGTTTAGCGTTTAGTTGGACTCGAAGCCTTGAAAGATGACAACTTGCCAGTGGACTGCAAAACTTTGGAGAGAGAAAAAACATGATTCGGGTGAGGTATACTTGGCTGCAGCCGGACAGGGAACAAGCGGAATCCTTCCAATTTGCTTTTTGGCCATGAGAGAACATCAGGACGTCTTTCTCATTATGGCATGAGCATTGTGGCATCAATTGACGTCAAAGACGCCTTTCTCACAGCGAAACAAGAGGTGGACACTCGAGTGACATGCACAGATGCCAATGGAAACTCTATGCAATACAGCTTGGGCAGTGTCTTGCCCGGGCAGAGAGATGGGAGTTTGCTTTGGCACAGGGACTTGGCAAAGTTCGTCGGAGTGTTCGCTGGAAATGACAGAGCTGGATGCTTACCCAAGCATTTTGAGAAGCAAGAATGGTGATTGCTTCTTGATGGTCCATGTTGATGACCGTCTCATCGTCGGCAGCCGAGATGCCGTGATGAAACAGCTTGTGCCTTCACTTCAGTTGAAGTATGCAATCTCCATTGAACTCATGTCGAAGCCCGGGGATGAAGTTTCCTTTCTTAAGCGCCCCCATGAATTGCTGGAAGATGGCAGGATGGTTATTCGAGTGCATCACAAGCACCTCGATCAGCTGTGCAAACTCTTGTGCCTTTCCAAAAGGCTTCAGAGCAAGAAGACCCCAGGTCACAGCGAGATGGAGATTCCAGACAAGTCTCCAGAGCTCAATTCCCATGATGCTTCGATGTACCGCACTTGCGTGGGGATTCTTCTGTACTTGTCAGCTGACCTGCCACAGTGCCATCATGTGATTCGATACGTATCCACTTTCTCTTCAAAGCCAACTGAGAAATCCCTTATGGCGCTGAAACACCTGGTTGGCTACATGGCAGCACACCCCGAACAGTGCATATCTTTGAAATGGAAAGGTTTGCATGCTGGTGTTTTCAAACAGTATGAGAACGAGGAGCCGATGGTGGAAATTTTCAGCGATGCTGACTGGGCGGCTGACAGAGAGACGAGACGCTCTGTCTCGGGAACTGCAATTTACGTTGGTGGCTGTCTCGCTTATTCAAGCTCCAGGACACAGAAGATCGTGTCACTTTCGAGCGCAGAGTCAGAAACATATGCAGCTGCGTCGGCCACCATGGATGCGATCTTGATCACCCATCTTTTCATGGCTTCTCCGATGTCATTTCATGATGTGTCTGTATCTGGATTCATCAGCAGCAAGAGGTGTTCTTTCTCGCAAAGGCGTAGGTCGTTTGAGGCATTTGTCATGCAGGATCTTGTGGATGCAGGACTTAGTCATGGAAAAACGTTTGCTGGTGAGATCAGTGATGGGAGCACTCAACCCTGCAGACATTGCCACAAAGAGACTCAGCGCAGCAAGGCTCGAGTCGTTGTGTTACTTTTTGGGTATCTGGAGAGGACAATCTGGAGGGAGCACATGACCCAGGAAACATCTTCAGGCAGCTGGGTTTGATTGGCTACATCTACCTGGCCATTCGCCCTGGGGAACCCTTGAAAAGTTTTGATTTGTGACCGATGCCACAGCTTCGAGCAATGGCGCTGGATAGGACCCGATCGACAACAGCTCAGATGTGGATGCCTCCGTCTCAGACTGCCCTGCATGGTCTGAAGAGGGCATGATCCATTGGTTATACGACCGATGTGAGAGGAGGTTGCAGAAAGCCGTTACAAGGCAGGATCCCTACAAAACAAACCAGTATCTGGCCCGGCAAGGTATGCTGAGTGATATGCTGGCTGCTTTAGAAGTAGCCACCACGGAAACCAGGGGCCATATTCAGCAGGTTCTTGAAGACATCACGGACTTGTCAAGTGATGAGGATTCGCCCACGATCAACACTGGTGGTCATGCTACAGCGTTGAACTCTGGAGTGCCTACTGGGATTGCCACAGCGTTCGTGCATGGAGTGGCTGGTATGAGCCTATGTGGATGCGACATTGGCGACTTGGAAACCTCTGACATCAAGATGATCCCGTTTACAACTCTGGTTTTGACTGCGTGGACTATGGCGCTTGGTGGGTACACATGGTGCTGGCTCAGGCAACCGATAAGGCCAGTGATCTTTCCACCAACTACCTTGGTGACCCATCCAACAGCACCTGAACCTGAGGTCAATGAAGATCCACAGATCGAAGGGAGACTATTGACTATTGGTTGCCCTGAGGAGGATCAATGGACGCTTGGAGCTTGCACAGCGAAGAGGCAACAACGGGCAATGCATGAAGCATATGCAAAACCGGACGTGGTTGTTGAGCTGTGTGGCTCACTACACTAGCTGCAGCCCTCAGGAACGGCTGCGCATGGCTGAGGTGATTGCAGATACCTGCAATCTCAGCAAGGACGACGAGTCCCCACATCATGGCCTTGGAGAAGATGAGAAACATCTTCAGCTGGCAGAATCTGACAAGGCTTCCAGAGCCATGATGAGCCTTCTCGAATTTGACAAGTTCGAGGAGGTGACAAAACTGATTGGGCAACTTGGTGGAGCGCTTCGAGAAGTGAAGCCAGAGAGCTCCGTCTCAGACGAGAGCATGTCAGAGGAAACGCCAGAACAGAGGGCACAGCGCTACATGAGCTGTGGACAATCAGAGGCTTTTGGGCTGATGTTCACTATGGCCCAAGGAGTCATGAGGAAGAAACAGAACCCGATGATGGCACGGGACTTCAGGAATTCTGAGAGGCAGCAAGGAAGCACCACAGAAGAGTGTCGCTTGGTGGGGATGAGACCCATCATGCGGCTCCAGTGCCAATAGTTTGAAGCGATACAGTCTTCACCCTTAGAAAAACTCCAAAAATGGAGAACTGATGGTCACACAACTGACCTGCGGAGCTAGAGCCATAGTGAAATTCTAAAACATTTAGGTTCCAGGGCGGGGTGAAAGATACTTCCGCATTTGGTTTCATGTACATGTACACATCAGTTGTGTAGCTGTGCAGATGACATTGCACAAATCGAGTAGTGCATTTCAGGTTGTACTCTGAGGCGCTTTCGGTTCCAGAGAAGTTCGCAAAATACAATGTTGGCTGAACAGACAGCCTTGCTTGCAGCCCAGAGGAGGAGTGCAAAACATTGTGCAGCCTACCCGTACTCTGGATGACACGCACAAATCGAGAAGATTTAGTGCATTGCAGTTGCATTTACTTGGCATGAATCACATGCACAAGGATTTCACCTGAGGCCCATTTTGGCTTAGAAAAGTGCGCGAGTGCTCCGAGTTCTTTCGCAAAAACACATATAATTTTTGAGGCTGAAACCTTTTGTGCGGTGGTTGCGTGCTTAGTTTCAATGAACACTCCAGAAATGAGAAACAATTGCCTATATGTGGGCAATGAAGATACACAATTCGCTTGCCAGAACCCCTTCGCATTGCAATATTGCTGACAAACCTTCTAGGGTTTTGGTGCGTGAATTGATTTCGGCTGGATTTGTAGACAAGTCCAAAGATGCAAAAACAATAGTGTCTCAACTTGTCACATTCATGGACAAGAAAGTGGGGAAAATGTTGGAATGCTCCATTGAAATCCCCACGTAACAAAAGGTGAGTGCTTTGCAAAAAGTGCATATGTTGTGAGCGGTGTATTGAAATAAATGGTGATGTGACAAAACATTTTATAACAGTGAAATGGATGGCATCTTCAAACGAACATGGTTTTTGACTGAAGAGGAAGGAGGGAGGGAGGGTTCACACTTCCATCCCCAACAGCCACCTGACGGACTTCTTCTTGCTGCCGAATCCACAGCCAAAATCGGTGAATGGTCGTTGAAATCCCTGGGTGAAAAAAATGAGTGCCTTGGAAATTACGTTCGTTGTGAGCGGCGTATTGACAAAAAAAATCCATATTCATTGCATACGGAGAACGGTTGGAATGCGGAAGAGGCGCAACCCAACCACGCGGGGCATCAATTTTTTCCTCACCATTTGACACATTTACAGTTTCGAAACAAAACATCATAATTATGCATTGCCTTGCCAGCGTTTACCGTTTCCGTGTTTATTGTTTGATATGGGTGACATGGCACATGCAAAAATAACAGACGATATAGTGTAGTCAATGTACGTATCGTAGAATTCCACTGGACTTGCTTGAGGATGATTTCACCTGCAATTTTTTGTTCACCATTTTTTTTATAACCCAGGCGAACTGATGCCATGCCCAACTTTGCATTCTGAGATACTGTTAATTATTTTTGTATTTTTTTTGCAATGTAAGTTCACATTGATGTTTTGAGTACAGGCGACTTGTTTTTCAGTTCTTGGTTGTTGCGTATAGTTGTGTTGGGAGATGAACACTCACACAACGACGACAACAACCACCACCACCACCAACAACAAATCGATGCATTCTTCACCAGTGGAAACCAACCAGGACTATGAATTCAGATGTTTGTCGCCATACACAAATGGTTGGCCACGCAAGTGTTTGGTTTTGCATTTGTGAAATTCGTCAAGTGTTTGTTGTTATGTTTGTGTTGGTTCACCTTGTTTTTATTTGACAGGTTTTGAACGTCATTGGGCATGTAGGCATGCGTGCTTGTTGCACCAAAAACACGTTTTGCGTGATGGCCCCGGGTATGTTTCTTTTTCGGGGGTAAGTGTTGGGTTTCTGCTGCGGCACATCACGAAAGGTAGCTCCAGAGGGGCTACCTTGAGTTTTACTTTACGAAGTAAAGGGGAGGGCGGCCAGCCCCGTTACCTGATTCTTCAGGAGATTGCTAGTCATTTTAGTACCCCCCCCCCATGTTTTTGTTTCGACCTAATACCTACATAGGTACATGCATGAGTATTGAGCACATTTATATGCGCCTTCAAGGCTCAAGAAAGAGGTATATAGAGTAACCCTGTAGACAAGCACGGACCGGCAATAGGCTGAGTAAAACAAGTGCTGTCATTGGGGAAGACGCCTTAGCTGATCTTGAAGTAGACGCTAGGGCCCCTCTTCAAGTGGTAGCGGAGCTGTGATCCCTCATTGAGGGTGAGCTCCAGGTAGAGCCCAAGAAATGGCAAGCCATGGCTATGATGATGATGACTTCGACATTGTCGATGCAAATGAATGGAACCAATATGACTCTTATGCAATGAGAAGAGCACCCCAGCAAACACAGATTCATATGACGCAACAGATGACCACAAAGGTTGCTCCAGCCTATGATGGGCGAACCAGCTTCTTTGCTTTTGAGGATGCAATTGATGACTGGTGTGACATTACGGAGTGAGAACCAGAGAAACGTGGTCCAGCATTGCGCAACAGACTGGAAGGAGATGCTCAACAATACAAGAGGCTATTGGATAGAGAATTACTCAGGGATCCCTATGAAGGAGTGGCTTATTTAAGGAGTGGCTTATTTTAAAAGATTTCTACGACCTCATTTCATCAAAGGTGCCCAGAACGTGTTCTTATACCGTTTCATGCAGTTCATGAAGTTCAACAGAGGAACCATGGATCTTCAGAAGTGGATGACTAGATTTCAACTCACTGGCAATAGACTTATTGAGTCTTGGATGGATTTACTTCCAGAAGTAACAGTGACTAGTCCTGAAGCAATTCTGTTTGTTCAACGACGTCAAGAACATGAACGAGATCAACAAGAGAGAGCTGAAGTAGCAGCAGCCTCAGGAACACCCCATGTAGCTGTTCCTTGGACAGATGAACTGGCACTAGCGGCATTCAGACAATCTCAGGAAAATCGTAGAGAAGCACAGCGACAAGCATTCCCACTGGGTGAAAATTTGCTAGCATTGATTTTTGTAAGTCTAGCTGACCTGAGTCAAGATCAGAGAAACACACTCACAAGTATCATGACACATCGTGGACGAACCCTCGATCGATACAGTATTCAAGAACTACGTGACCTGTTTTTGGAAATGTTTTGCACTACCAAACAGCAGTTGACAATCCATTGATGCAACCCTCTGGCATGGCACAGAGAAGATCTTTCCTCGTACTGGATGAAGGTGAATTAGAAGGAACCGACGGCTATTGGGCCGAAGATGAAGAAGACGGCGCAGAAGGATTCCTGGATGCTTTAGAAGATGTTTTCTGGGTTTATGATGACGCCAACTTCACATGGTATCAGAGAAGGTTCCAAGGCAAATACATCAGACGAGACAAAGGTAAAGGAAAGAGAAAAGGAAAAGGAAAAGGCAGAGGAGGACGAAGGTTCTTCAAATCAAGAAAAGGAAAAGGCCGAGGAAAAGGAAGAAGAAAAGGCCGTGCTCACATGGTGAGTGAAGAAGGTTATGAAGATGAATGTCAAGAAGATGAATGGAATGAAAACTATGACGGCTATTGGGCCGATGATCAAACCTGGAATGAAGGCTATTGGGCCTATGATGATCTGTACTACATGGATGAGGATGGATACTTCCAGAAGAAAGGAAAAGGAAAAGGAAAAGGAAAGAAAGGCAAGAAAGGCAAGGATGATGATGGAAAAGGAGGAAAGCCAGGAGATGGAAAAGGCAAGTCGAACTATGTTCAACCTCAACCCACATCAGTTCCTGCCATACAGAATCAACAAACTCAACAAGCTCATTATTCTTCTGCAGCTTCAAGTTCTGGTCATGGTTTCTTTTCATTTGGAACAACTGAACCAGTACGTGTTGATGTTGCAGAGACAGAGCCAGCACGTGTTGATGTTTTGACATCCACGTATGCAGCACAAGATGAACAACGACGTCCTCGTCGTGGAGGACAGAACCAACGTGATGCAAGAGCACATCAAAACAGGAGAGAAATGAAGAGATTCCCTGTTCTGGTTGGAGAAGTTGGTGCACTACGACAAGGTGTACAACAACGTCCAGCTGTAGTGCCCAGGCAAGTTGGTCTTCAAGAAGGTGAGGCTTCATGGAAGCCATTGGCAGAAGGCACATCATTGTTTTCACATGGATGCTCTACAGAGATAGAGGAACCATCACAGCAGAGTGCTTTTTCATTTCATACTGTACAAATTGATCTGGCATGTGAGAATGGACTAGCTTTTCACACAGAGAATTCTGCACCACCAACTGTGTGTATTCTGGATCTTGGATGCACAAGAGCTATGGGCTCTCGACGAGCAGTTGAAGCATTTTGCAGATATGTTGACTCACATCCCAACAGTGGATTCTGGTATGAAATTCAGCCAACAAGTTCAAGATTCTTCTTTGCAAACTCACAACAATCAAAATGTACTGAGAAGCTCGTGATATTCATGTATGATCATGGATGGAACACTCAGTTTACAGAATTCGACATTGTCGAAGAAGGTGATGTCCCGTTATTGATGTCACTTCCACA